GATGATGACATCACATCATTTTTCTAACAACCTGATGATGACATCACGTCATTGGACTAACAACCTGATGATGACATCATGTCATTGAACTAACAACCTGATGATGTTATCTTTTAGTCAGGCGGCCTGTGTGTGAGAGGACTCTCTGTAAGCTTGGTGAAGAAGAGGCTGAGGAGCACACTGACACAGGAGCGTGTGTTTCTGCTCATGTTAACAGAGAGAGGCCCTGATGCCTTCAGAGACCAGTGTTCTGCTCAAGAGCTTCTTAATGATGGAAGTTCTCACAGGTCCCTTTTGGCTGGGGGACAGTTTTGATGTTAGAGGTCTGTGGAGGTTGGTGTTCCTTAATATTTCATTTGGTTTGGATGATAAGCTTCTTGTTTAATAAACTTCTATCAACTGATTAGTATTTTTTTATTTGAGTCATTGAATACAAACAAACATTAGTTTATTGTTGAAAAAACAAAGAGTGATTTTATGTTTTTATGCTGCAAATCAAGTGTTTGTGTTAAAATGATGGTTCCACGTGCGTCCGTCAGATGAAGGGCCTGTCTGGCCCCTGCTGGTCAGCCTCTCCAGCAGGAGGTCTGCAGCTGCAGTCTGACACATCCAACCAGTGGTTTGTTGACCGGACCATCACGCTGCACAACTCCTCCACTGGTAGGAGGAGACATTTAAAAATCACATTTCCATCTTGGTCTTGTATGATTGTGAAGCAGATGGCAACTTGTGAATTTCCTTCAGGGTAATAAAGTCTTGTGTTTCCTCTGTGAGGTCTTTCCCCAACAGTCTGTACACATCCAGGACCTAAGGAGACCAGCTGCTGGAGGTTTTAGAGAGAACCTTGGTCCATGCTAGTTTCAGCCACACTCACTCTCCACAGCTGCTGTTCATCATAATCAGCCATCACTCCACAGCTGCTCCTGATCAGTGTGAAGCTCCTGCCAATGGTGAGGTTCCTCAGCTACAAGGATGAACAGCTTGTTGCTGCAGCATCAAGATCTGACGTTCACTAACACAGTCATCAAGCACAGCTCCACCCAGACACCACTGCAGGTCTGCACCAACCTCCAAACCAGTTTCACCTGATTCACATGGAGCTGTGCAAACTTAGGTTGCTCCAAGGAGTGGCTCCCCCTGCTGGTGACACCAGGACCGAACCAGTCACACTGCTGGTGACACCAGGACTGAACCCAGTCACACTGCT